GAAGAGCCAAGAACAGGAAATGCTATTATTTTAACAGAAATTATGAAAACATGGAAACAGGAAAAAACAGAAACTTTATGGCAAGAAAGTTGTCAAGCTTTTTCTGTTTTTTACACAGTTATTTTTTACAGTGTAGCAACAAGATGTTTATGCATGTTAAAGAAAACCATAGCAACTGCGACGCAATCCTTCCTTTTGTCACTTACGCCTATAATACCGCCCGACAAACAACTACAGGATTTTCGCCGTATTATCTTTTATACGCTCGTATTTTGCAATACGTAGGAAAATCGTTTGGATATATACACATCTGAGGTCGTATCCCGAGCCAAAGATGCCCGCCAACTTGCCCGACTGCAAACTCTGCAGTCCCAACAATAACAAGAGCTACGTCATGCGGACACTCACGTACCAGTCGTCTATAATGTTGGTGATCTCGTGTTGCTCAATACACCAGTTCGCCAAGCCGGCAAATACGAAAAGCTCCTAAAAAGGATTGTTGGGCCGTACCACATTTCCCGTTCCCTCTCCGACATCAATTACGAGATAGTACCCGTGACCCAGCCCCGTGGCTATCGCTCGAGGTGCCAGGACATCGTCCACGCGGATCGCATCAAGCCGTACTTCCACCCAACCTAACCCGCACGCCAGTGCCGGATGACCTGCACTACCACCACCGGGGAGAACTGTTACGAAGACGACGACGCCGGACACTGTCGCGAAAGACGAAAAGGAGCCCGCGCGGCTGTGTTGCACCAGCTGGGGTCTTTTCAAGCGAGATTTGTAGCAGCCATCGCTGTTGTTCTTGTACATATCATCCTCAAATATATTGCCACGCTCGTTGGCGAGCAAGCGCGTGTGTGGCCGAGCGGTTACCGCGCTTGACTGTCGCGGGGAAGGTATAGGTTCGATTTCAGTCAGGCGACTCTCCTTTTATTTATTTTTTCAACTTGGCCTTCTCGCAAGTTCGAGAACATTCTCGTCTGATCTAGTTCCGAATATTCTAGGCACCGAACGTTCTACGCCGAATGATCCAGAAATCCACGAGGGTACGCAAGGGACTCCGCATAGCGACCGGAGTCAGTTTCGCCCCAGCGTTCGATTCTGCTGTCACGCCGTCTTCGACGCCCGTGACGCTCTGCTTTCTTCTGTTCCCTTTTTATTTTGGGGCACAAGTTCGCCCCATTAACCGTTTAGTTTCTTCAGTTATTATCGCCTCATCACTTGTCATTCGTGACAACACACACACACACACGCACACGCACACACGCACACACGCACACGCACACACGCACACACACACACACACACACACACATATATGTATATATATATAGTAATAAATATATAAATATATATACCCCCTGTAACCCGTCCCCTCCAGGCCGTCACGTCATACTTATTGTAATGAAGTGCAACAACAATATATATATATATATATATATATATATATTGTAGCGGTTGCGGTAAGGCGCCCGCGCGATTTTTCCGCCTCTTATCTAGCGCTTAAAGTCTTTCTAAAAATGACTGATTTAGTGGTTTTCGATAACGCTCAGCAGCTTTCTAATTGGAATCATATGTCTATTTCCACTAATTAAAAAGTTAATTAACAAGTTTTAATTAATTATCTGGCTAATTAGTAGGTTTTTGGCAATTGCTGACGTCCGCCGTGGCTGGTAATTTGTTCCCGAAGAGAGTTTCTCCTTTTTTCAATCGCCCTAATTTTTAGGATTTTTGAAAGTCTTCGCAAAAACACCCGGTATATATATATATATATATATAGACAGAGAGAGAGAGAGAGAGAGTTTTTTTTTAACTTAACAGATTTGTTTCGAAAAAGGCGTGAAGTCACTCTAATGCGGTTTCTGCAGGTGAGTTATAATACAGTCAGGGGACATAGAATAGGGGGCTAATCGTAACGATCAGTCGGGTAATTAGGTAAAATTAATTATTAACTTTTGAATTAATGAAAATAGACATATGATTCAAATTAGAAACTTGCTCGGCGTCATCGAAAACCACTAAATCATCTCTTTGTAGAAGGATATAACAAAGGGGCAGTATATTACGGTGTTAGGTTAAAATGCTCAATTTGGACGCGTTCCTAAATTTCGATTTGTTATCGGAGCGCATCTCTGCGCCCGCGGTCCTGCTTCCCAGTGGCTGAGACGCGCAACACACGTGCGCCCTACTTCCCTTCCTGCTGCGAGAAAGGCGAGTGGGAGCTTCGCGCCGCGACCACCGGGAGCCAGGACCGCGGGCGCAAAGATCCGCTCCGATAAGAAAGCGAAATCCAAAAACGCGTCAAAATTTAGCGCTTTTTAGAATGCCGTAAAATGCTGACCCTGTGTTATATCCTTCTAAAAAGAGTTGATCTAGTGATTTTCGATGACGCTGAGCAAGTTTCTAAGTAAAACCATATGTCTGTTTTTATTGATTAAAAAGTTATTGGCAAATTTTAATTAACCGACTGATCGTTCCGATTATCCCTCTATACTATGTCCTCCTGACCATATAACTCACCTGCAGAAACCGCATTATATAAATATCACGGCATTTTTAGAGCGCAGCTCTTAGGCGCCAGTTTTCGGCTTGAGCAGTGTCGCCGTCGCCTTCGGCGTCGGCGTAACCGCACGGTGCATTACGGGAAAACTTCTCCTCTAAATTTAGCAGAAAAATTTTCCCGATAAACTTGTCGGAACATTTTCAGCGCTAAATTTAGCGCAAAAATTTCTCCGCTATATTTAGCGGATATATTTCCCCAATAACCATAGCGGAAAAATTGCCCCACTAAATTGAGCAAAAAAATTTTCCCGCCAAATTTAGCGGAAAAGTTTCCCCTAAATTGCAGACGAGCAGGAGAGGAGGAGGGGCATAGCCTTTTCTCCGTACCTTCCCGTCCTCCTCCTCAACAAATGCGCTCTAATTTGGCGTTACAGGGGCTTGTAAACGTCTTTAATTTTTTTTTAAAATCTGTTAAGTTAAAAAAAACACCCTATATATATATACATATATTGCACAGTTGGCAAAGCAAGTATTTTATATTTTCTTTCTAGTGGTTTGATAGCAACAAAAATGTGACAACAACCGTCTCTGCCGTTGTTATTTTTTATTTAAAGCATGAAATGCCTTTTAACGGAATTACCTAATCCCAACATTTTGCCCGTGCGTCCATGCATTTGCCGATAAATTTAGCGCGGAAACAAAATTGTCGTTAGGTCACGTGATGCGAATTCGCGTGACAATACACCGATTATATTTGATGACACACCAGTTAAATTTCCCCACCAAATGCGGCGGAGAAATTCATGTCACATGACCTGTCGTTACGCGACCTATGTAACAATTCAGTTTCCCGCTAAGTCTGGGGGGGGGGGGGAATTGATGTAACTTGACCTCCCTATACACCAATTCACTATAGTCGCTAAGAGTAGCGGAAAATTTTGATATCGCGTGACTTGAGGTAGCAAAACCTATACATCAAATTAGTTTCCCCGCCAAATTTAGCGGAAGTATTGGCGCCAAGTAACCTGATGCCAAGCGAGCTATACAAGAAATCAGTTTCCCCGCTACATTTAGAAGAAAAATGTTTAAAAAAATTTTATATTCCCGATGGGACGGATTAATTTCCTCTAAATAAATTTAAACGATCGCACCTTAAACGCTGCATTTCACGCATTCTTAAAGTTCGAAGATACAATCGCTGCGAATGTTTTTTTTTTCAAGTGATAATGACATATTATTTTTAAAATAATAATGACATATAACCCATTTGTAGCTTTACCACTCGCGCTAAAATTAAAATTTAAACCGGGGTCAAATGTGAAAGATTTATCAATATATATGTAAATTTAAAAACAACGCTAGGTTCCGAATTCTATATTCCTTCATTTCACTAAATAGCTTTTTTTTTACACTTTCGACATGTGTAGCTTTTCAGGAATGTGTTAATAACAGTGTCTCGCACCTTGCTAGATTTCTGTGTAATTATTGCGGGTTTAATCATATGGCGCACCGTGCATTCACGAGCGCGCCCATTAAACCACTCTGGCATCGTTGCCGCGAGGCGGCTATGCAGTTGCCTCGCATTAGACACGAGTCACACGACCACATGGTCCTGTCGCCGCGGGGTCGATTGGGTTTCGAATTCGGCTCCCGAAGTGCCGCTTTCTCTCCTAGCCACTGGATGGCGCTGCAGACGCCCCAGGGCGGGCGAGGAGAAAACTGCTCGCCCGTCGATCGCTTTATAGAGGGGGGACTGGGGGCAAAAGTCTCTTAGGACTCCGGGCGGTACCGACAGCAAACAAGAGTGTGCGACCGGATCTCGAGTAGTCGCGGGACACGAAGCCTGGGGGCCCTCTTTGTGTTTAGCTTTGGCTCTACGTGCGTTTGGGAATATTTGTGTAATGTCGCGTGCATTTGTAGTGTACATCAGTTTAGTTTAGCGTTGTGTTTCATGTACCAATAAAAGGGGGCGAAATCCCCCTCCCGCGAAAGATCCAGGCTGGACTTGGGGTGTTGACGGACCACGTGGGAAATGGGGACTCGGCGGCAGTACGGCGATTTCCCAGAATTGGCGCCCCACGTTGCGCGCCATACTCAGGATCCTTGCAATCTGATGATTCCTGCGTGAAACTTTGCCTTCGATGTGCTGAATATTACGAAGTCTAGCAGCATACTCTTCCTGGTTTATTTTGCCACTGTATTTAACTGAAGAATCCAGGCTTCGGCAGGAATATTTTTAGGTATCACATCAAATAGATGTGACACCATCAGTGTTTGCGAAATGCTGAGGATAGTTCGCAAATGCGTCGAGCCTCCAGATGGCCAAATTAGTCATTTGTACATATGTTACCGTTTTCGAGCTTCCGGTGCACTATATTAGAATATGTTCAATTTAAACAGAATTATCTTCTCGCTGAAACACTTAAAAACAATTGATACATGCAATTATGATTTATATTCAGACAATTTTAGAAGAAGAAAAGTGGGTAGCTTACCCGCAACTTGTAGCACCTGTGGAGAGAAAACAATGAAACATTTTATCTAGATTGTTTCTCAGTATAATCATATAAGCATTTCACCTCTCACAATTGGTAGGTTTCAACTTGGATACGAAATCAGTCAAACTTTGCTGAGCTTTACTTCAGGTAGTTAATAAAGCGTGAGATCACAGCGGTACTTCGAAAATAAAAAAATCACTCAACGAACTCGGGCGAAATATAGGATTACCTAACACACGCTAAACAAGTTCCTGAAGCCACAGATAGAAATGGCGATTAAACTTTTCGCGACACAGTCGATGTCTTCTCACAAAGACTTTACGTGACTCGTAGATAACGCCATACGGATATGCCCACGACGTTTTATACACGCCCAGGCGCAATATAACGTAGAAGAGAAAATTTTCAACGTGGTCTTTTGCTCCGACTGGTGTTCCCACATCCTCTTTATTTATAAATATCTGCCAGATTGTGCAGTGACTTGAATCTCTCTTTGGGTGTTAGCCCTAGCTTCGCCAGGCCGTCTTGAGAGAGTAGCGGGTCTCAGTCCTGAAGTCAGCACTGCGGGACGCTCAACCTATACGCCAACGCGCTGTTCACAAACAAGCCGGCGTTCTCGGACACCAGGTACGGGAAATGCGCGTGGGCAGAAACCAGATTAGAATGAAGTAAAGGAGCGTTGTGCGCATGCGCCATGCCGACAGCAGCGCCACCGCTGGGATGCAAGGTCAGAGCCGCGTGCTGATTATTATACTGCTGCTGGGCAAAAAAAAAAAAAAAAAGAAAAAAAAAGTAACAAATAAAAAAAAAAACGACTTCTCTTCTCTTTTTTTTTTTTGTAGTTTTGAGATTTAATTTGGTGTATTGTGTAAACGAATTTATTTTGGCGGTTTTGATACTTCGCGAATGGGGCGAAGTGTGGTTTTCGGACATATTTCAGTGGGTAGAAATTGTTGCGAACGAGAGTGGTACGCTATGCATTTGTGACCTTGAGAAAACATTTTTCGCGGGATCTATTCTTCGCGATATTTTTCAGGTTGCGAAATTGACCAAAGAATCGACCCTGTGAAAATCATATGTTTCATTGTATTTGGTATTATTTTCTGGAGGTCTAGCCGAGCATATCATTAATCGGAAAGCCTTCTGGTTTCTTACAAATTTGTTTTGGTTTGTTCGTAATTTTGAGTCTGGGGTTTCCGTTAAGAGCAATGGCGCTTCTGCTAGGAGGGCCATCGGGAAGAAAAGGTGTGCTGAAAAGAGACCTGACAATCAAACTATTGCACTTAACCTATAACTGATTCCTGTTTCCGGACATTATATATTTGTATTGACTTCTTCGGAGAGTCTAAGAGTATAAACCTCATGCGATCAAGGAGTGAGAACACTAAGGTGGCGAGTGTGATCAAAATGGCCTCACTTCATTAAGTCTTTTCCTCCAGACTTCCGTACCTACATAAATATATACGCATTCCCATTATGGTTGTGTCCTAAAGAACAACTCTGATATTCAAATTTTCTGAATGTGTTTCGGGCAGCAACAAGAAGCGCGTTTCCACCGACTCTTTTAAAATGAGCGGGTCGCATTGCTTGAGTATGTTGTTACACGAAACCCACCACCGATTAAAAATTTAGAATCCAAAATTTATATCTTAATCTCTTTTTTTTTTCTTTTTTTTTTTTTTTTTGCAAATGAGGGGGAGCGAACCTCTCCTAACTGTGATGTTTTAAATAAATATTTTCTTCTTCGCCGCCCCTTGGCAAAAGGTAAATCATGTGTCGGCGCTCCGAGGGGAGCGCTAGTGCCTTAGCTTGTATGACTTGTCGAGTTATGTTGATAAGAAATATCATAAACAGAAATGACAAATCTTGATTTGCACGTGAGTGAGTGAGTAATAATTGCTATATTTACATCTCCTTTTTTAACATCGTATTAAAAAATAAAAATGCACCCGTACGTTTCAGACCCCATACCAGATGGAGGACCAATACAGAGGAACATTTGAAAAGTAGGTATTTGTCTTAACGAACAATACAGGTTTAAGTTGTTCACGATAATCTACCTGATCGTATACACGTAGTATAAAAATAAAACACACTACAATTATCGGTGCTCTTTGCCACATCTACTAAATTTAGATAGAACTGATCGGAAAATTATTAAATACAGGGGAAAACAATGCATTCTGTGTGCTATCTGACAGGGAAAGTGTAGTAGAAAACCATGACCAAACATAAAATCGACTCGTGCGCCCTACATTGAGACAAATGCATATAATTTCCATTACAACTATATAGTTGTTAAGAAAATGGCCAAGCCTTTTGTTTATTCAGGTTTAAAATAATTTTATATATAATTCCATCAAAAGTGATCATAAAAGCGTTCAAATTTTAAGCATTGCCACGTTTTTTTCATTTTTCTATAACAACGTATTAAAGCGATGACGTGTAAAAACTCACAAGGGAAGATAGGAGGCTTCCTCCGATGAGGAACAACATCGTTGCACTCATAGCTGCGTTCTCACCGCTTGAGGTTCTTGTGCAGAATAAGAAATTTAATCGCTTGCGCTTTATTAGTATCTGCCATTAGTGATCAATTCGCACCACCATTATAACAGACGCGATAAGATGCTTGACGCCGACGGCAGATACATCACAAAAGCACCCGATTGTCTTTCGTTAAATTGATTTTCATGCAAGCGATCTGGCTAATGGACTGGTCCGTCATCTTGCTGGAGATCTGCGAATCTCTGCCTATCAGTCGAAACTTTGTTCGAGGCAGGTTGCGTTCAATGGGTCGAGCGCTAGTTTTATCGCGTCTCGGTCCCTTCTTTTATCTTGAAATGGATGCGCTTCCCTGACTCGCCAGGTTGCCCTTATCACGCACTGCTGGTTCAAGAGGCGCGCTTGAGAGAAACATGGCTGCTACTGGGCATTAGGAATAGCTCGTGCCATGTGCCTGCGTAATCGATGTGCCGGGTGTATAAATGGATCTTCCGAGTAATGTATCTCCCGAAGGTTTAACTAATTTCCTCAAAAAGAGGAAATTAGTTAAACCCAGTGGGCGCCTGGTGTCTCGTTGTAGTTGAGAAATTCAGCCAATGCAGTACATCTGCTGGTCTGGGGTCTTTAGTGCGCAGCACGTGCTACACAACCGCACGCAGGTACGATGCTCATCCAGATTAAAAAAAGAGGGGGGGGGGGGGTGACTAAATCCCAGTATCCCCGCGTTCTGTAGCGCGTGCTTTCCCTCCACGTACCTTTCCTACCTGCGGTGCGAAACTGCACCTGGTTTCGAATCCAAGAACTTTACAAGCAAAACAATGAATGCGTCTTCACTGGTCAGGAGCCATAAAAGCAGCGCCGTATTTACCAGAGTTAGTGTCAGCGTGGGGCGCCACGCTTTGTATCAAATTGCAGGTCATTGTTGAATGCCAAATTTTAATTGGCTCAGATGCTCGACATTGTGTATTTATAACAATTTGGCTGAGATATAAGACCACATTGAACCTACGCGTATTTAGTATTGGTATGTCTACATTGGTTAGATTATATTTTAAATATTTCGCATACCTATCTCAAATACCTTTTTTTTCTTGCTTTCAGGAGATTTTGCCATCGGAATGACTTCCAGCAGTATGGCTTGGTGGGGTCGTCAAACACCTCAGCGCAAGTAAAACTTGGGGCAAGACACCAATCCACGCTCGTGGCACCAAAATAATGGCGTCGTGCAGAGATATAAAAGCCTGTCTCAATATTTTGGGCGAATATTATGTTGTAGACCTGGGTATGCGAAAAAAAGGCAGAACAGCGGCATAGAATAGCGACACGAAGTGTTGTAATCCGCTAAATGTGAGCCATCCTCCGTTTAATGTAGGAAGCGTAGGTACTGCTCAATTTAGAGAAGCGTAACTGAACGAGACGACGGGACTGCGTAACCTGAACATTCTATAAAAAATTCTACGCAAATGCAGTTTTACAGAGTCAGCCAAAATCGGCGAAAGAAAGTTTTCTCTACTTTGCGACGTGCCTTTGTGTACAAAATTTGCTCACACGCAGATAATTTTTTTTTCATTTTTAACACAAGTACTTCAAGTTTTACAGGCTATGTCGGGCCGTTGAAGTCATCATGATTTATAAGGCCTCAAAGAAGTACAATAAAAACACACAATGCAAGAAAATAATTATAATAAAAATGCTCATCTTTGTTTACTAAAACAGAACAAACCTTGGCAATTGAAAGTTTGTCTCCCTTCATACATAACATATGAACTTTGATCCTACATTTCTGGAGACCTAGAACTCTGAAGAAACAAATATATCAGATTCCATTTCCTTTCCTATAGCCATTGCAAAAGATAAAGATAAAACATAAAAGCTCCTGCAGGCGACTTGACCAATAAATAATTAAAACAACCTTGGGCCGTTGTCGTAGGCGTCGCAATACTGGCTGTAAGCTGGAACCTGATATCACTAGTTTTCTGTTTTTTTTTTCCTTTTTTTAAAATTAAAAGAAACTAATCAAACCTGATTGAGTGGCGGACAGTGTTCATTCGGGACCTCCACTTAAGCCGTAAAGATTAATGCTCTTCGATGCATGTGAGAGTGAAAAGCTTAAAACTGCCGAAGTCGTGTTCGTCTTGTGTCGCGCAGTGTACATCTATGTCTACGAAAGTGAGGCAAACAATAATGTGCACAGCGGGGGTCGCTTGGTGGCTCGTAAACTTGAAACAAAAATTGAACTTGGCTTCTCTTCGGTGGCGTCGTTGAAGACGAAGTACAGGTGGCGGCTGAACATCGAACCGGAACTAAGAGTAAGTAACTGTGTTCAAAATCCGCCCTCGTTTTGGGAAACTATGTGCTCCAACAAGTAAATTCATTTATTAATTAGAAAACTTTATGCCTCCTGGCTTGAATTTCATGTGATGGTTTATAGCCGGCCTTATTCACTCTGACTATATTAACTGTAAAATTAAATTTTATGGTCTATTTTGTGTATTACTCTTCATGCACTGCAATCTACAATCTCATGGGGTCGCGAAAAGACCGGGCGGGGGGGTCGCAGTGGTATGTCTTTGTTTTTAGTTAATTGCAGGGTAGGATAGAGTTTGGAAAGTGCTGTTGTACACGATAAAGTAGCCCAAGCAGCAAATTCCCCTTACAAATTCCCCTTACGAACAAACCTGTGTCACTTCGACATGGTTCGATCATATGTACCTCTCTGCATTTTCGCTGGTTTAAATATATGATTAGAACAAAAACAAAATGCGTAACGGTGATGAGTTCAGCGTGTTGATATATACTTAGAAAAAACAGCCTGCACGTAGAAAAACAAATACCAGAGAGAGAACAGAAGGGATGACATGAGACGGCTGACTACCAACGAGTTTTAGTGAAAATGTCTTCTTGCTCATGCTATGGCGTCCTCCAGAATATAAAAAAATGTTCTTCGTGGATCATTTTTTAGGAATGTCTCTGCTGGGGGACGCCACAGCATGAGGAAAAAGAAGTTTTCCCTAAAACATGTTGGTAGTCAGCCGTCTCGTCTCATCTCTCCTGTTTTCCCTCTACATTTCTTGCTTAAGTTGAGGCTTTGTTTTCCAAGAACAAATAGGGGTTACATATTTTATTGCGATTAATATTCACAATTCCGTGAACACACAATCGGTGTGCCATCTACCGCTACTGAAAAGTCAAATCGCTTATCGCCAAAGCCACACAGAGCGAGCGATATCCGATGATGTGATTATTAACCTTCGTTTCAACTTGCTACTTTCGGCTATCATTACAATTCTCCGATAATGTATGAGCTCACGCACAAGGTTCACGTTTGACGATGCTTGAGTGCGATCGCGGATGATATCAAGCGGTAGCATAACGATGAATTTATCTGAACAATTGCTGACGAATGAGAAGAAAAAAAAAAGATTATTATCACCGAACGTAGGCTAGTCTACAGCAATTCGTAAAATGAGCTTTTTCCCACGTCCGCAAACAAAATCGGCGATGTTTTTACCGGTAAGTTTATGTCCATTGTTCTATTTTCGGTCTCCGGTTATGGAATACGTTTCGAAAAAATTCCAACTAGGATACTGACCATATTCTTCTGCTATTATCTCGAGCCTTTAGCAAAAACCCTTCACGGCGCAAAATTAGTTCTAATAAATAAGTTATGCTCTTGAGTAAGCTAAGGAACACAATGTGTGAAGATTTGAAGCAGGGGTCATCAACCTCCTTGACGCGGAGGACCGGACAAGAATATCGAGAGGAAGGGAGAGAGAGAGAGATAGGAAGCCACAAAAGAAAAAAAAAACGATCAGACTGTGGAAAAAAAAAATATATATATCACAATTTAAAAGCGATGTAATAATACGTTTTCTTTGATCTGAGCCCTTAATGTAAGATATTGCTGGATCCCACACTCAGTTAATATTTTGATGCTCAATATTCCTTTCCAAAAAGCGGACATTCATGTTAACGCTACTAACTGAAAGCCGTAAATTATTTTAAACAGCACTTCTCTTTTTCGCAAAAGTACGTTCGAATTATGGTCTTCGTCTTGGAAAAAGTACGTTGGCAGATATTAATCATAAAACGAGCAGTGCGATTGAAGCTCTTTTAAGCTTCAATAGGTTATGGAAATAATGACTCAGGAAGGCAAGCTTAAATCTTGAGATAGCCGTTCACCGCAAATGAATCCTTCAACGTATTGTGTGCTTGTTGAGCAGCAAGCTTTATATAGTACATCTTGATCATGATGTTTATTTTTTCTTCTTTGGAATCTTACGCTCAATCAGAAGCTTGTGGTTGATTTCATCTCAACTCAGGCACGGATTTAAGGTCGAATTTATAATTTAAAAAAAAAATATATGTTTTGGGGCAATTCCTATAATAAAAAAGGACGCAAACAAAAATTTCGTCGGATATTTTGTTCTCAAGTTATGGACTGTTGAAGCGGCCAAGGTGGAAACTGACATTTTTCCCGCTTATCGGAGGTGCCATATTTCACTCCATCTCTTTTCCCTACTTCTTATGCTACATCAATATAAATTTTTGGGAACACCCTAGACATAAACTTTTTCATGCTAATTACGCGTCAAGGTCATAACATTCTCAATGATTTTATTTTATTTGTCAAACCGCATCTCTCCGATTTGACGAAGTTCAGCAAGCTGTGCTGTGTGACGCAATCAACCTCTTTTATGATACTTATATCCCCGTAAAGCCCCAATTAATATATTTCTTTTGAGTATAAATTAAATATTTTGCAATAAGTGTATAATGCGCTACATGTGCCCGAAGAACAAAAATTTCGCCAAACTGGCAAGTTTGGAGTCGATTTTCTGAAAAATCCCACTTTTATTTCTTTTATTTTTTGTTTACAGTTAGTTAATATAGTAGTCTATTAAAATTAACAAAAAATTGTAATATGTTGCTTGTATGGTCGCTATTAAGACTCAAATCTTGTGCTATGAGCGTTTTGAACGGGACTTCGCACAGGCGCTCTGCTGAGCAGAATTTTGGCCTATGTAAGGTTTTCGGTTTATCGTTAGCAGCTACCTCAATACCGAACCATAAACATT